TGTAAATACTCTCTAGACTTGAAACATTAGGTTGTCTTATTTATGGAGTGTTATGTTTTGATTTCATCACTAAAGGTACCTAATCAAGGATGCCAAAACAGGATGGTTTTGGGTATAACATTAAGGATGTGAAGGCAAATGAGTGATTAAGAAAGGAATCATTACCCTAAGTGATTTAGGGGATATATTTTAATAGTTTTTGGTTAATATTCGCTTATTAAAGTCCTTGGCCAAGGCAACTTAGAGATTATAAAAGGAGTTTCATAAGTCTCTATAAAGCTAATGATCAAACTTAAAAAATAAATATGAAGATCAATAAGAGCAAACATTGTATCATACTCTTATCATCTTTAGGATATATGATGAGGGAATGAATTACACTGAAAGCTGATTACTGAAAGGCTCCATTTTCATCCATTTTGTTCCTAAAGACCCATTTAGCATCTACAATTAGATAATTATTTGGCCTAAGAACTAATTCCAATACTTGACACCTTTTAAATTGGTTTAATTCTTCTTGCATAGCTTATGTCTAATAATCATCATCTAAGGCTTCATTAATATTTTTTAGTTCAATTTGAGAGATAAAGGCTACATACTCACAAACATTTTGAACTTTAGCTTTAGTTCTTACCCGTTGATTAGGATAATCAATGATTTTGCTTTCAACAACCTCTTGTCTTACCATTAGATAGTTAGGCTCACCTTCTTCAACAATTTGTTTAATTTGTTGCTTTTTTTTTTATGTTGCTTATTCATTCACTTTGGATCCTTTAATATTGAGATCAAGCTCCCTCAATTTGTTCTTGAAGGATGCCTACATCATCATCATAATTTACCTCTTTAAAAAGAGGGTTAACATTATAAAAATAAATAAATGAATAGATTCTTCACAATTAATGTCCTTTTATTGAATATTTGTTAATGATATGTGCACTTGCTTTGTAAATCCGACAACAACTATTAATTGGTCATTGTGAAAATTTTGAAATGATATAATTTTCTATGGCAAAGTATGGGATGTGATTCAATTATATGAGATCATTAAGTTGAGAGTTGTAGTGTGGGTCAAATCCAAATGGCAAATTTCCATATTCAATGGAAGAGATTTTTCATAATCCTAATAATGTGAAAAGTATTCAGAGGCACAAAGTTGCAAGATTGGAGTATAAACGGATAGCTCCACCAAGCGGATGGCTGAAATTTAATGTGGACGGGGCATCATCAAGTGGTTTGAGTGACGTTGGAATTAGAGAAATTTTACAATCTTGTAATGGCATGGTTAAGGTAAAGTTCTCTAAGTCCTCGGGGGTTGTGGATTTGAACAAAGTTGAATTATTGGCCATTAGAGAAGTTTTGTATATTTTCACCAATAGTGTGCACAGCAATGATTATAATTTATGAATAGAAATTGATTCTATGAATGCAATTTATTGGACTAATAATCTAAAGGAAGTGCCTTGGAGTCTTAGAGCATGTTTGGTTTAAATTTTTTTTTTGCTTAAAAGCTATTTATGAAGCTCTTATAAAAAAATAAATACTTTTAAAATTAAGCTAAAGTTGTTTCGTAAGCTGTTTGGCAAAGTAAATTATATAAGCTCTAATTTTAGTTAAAATTACCATAAAAAGTATTCATGCCATCTCTAATAACTTAATAAACTAAAGCGAAACAAGTTTGCTTCGAGTTTATATATGATTTTAGATGTTAAAATCAAAAAAATCCATAAAGAAACAAAACAACTCTCAAACTTGTATAGTAGTAATAGTATTATGGTTTTGTTAATCTAGCAAGCAATCGGACTATAATGCTTGAATTCTCCATGAAAGAAGAGAAAGAGGAAACGATATATTTGACATTAAAATCCTTTTTGGTGAAGAAAAGAGAAAATTTTTAAATAGTATCTGAATGCAGTTTTGAATTTTGAGTATGTTTTTCTCTTAATCTTTGCAGCAACCAAAACATCCTAGATGTTGCTCTTCTATTGCTAGGTCTTCTATTTTTTTTTTTCTAGTAATCTTTGCAGAGAGTGATAGAGGAGAGGGAGGTCACGATTTATGTTGGAGAAAAGTGATTTGTAGAGGGAAGGAGAGGAGAGGGAGATTGATTAAGAGAGAAGGATATTTCCTGAAAAGTTGGTGTGTTTTTTAAAGAATAGAAAAGAAAGCTCCTTTTTGGAGCTTTTCTTTAAGCTCTTTTTTTTTAAAAAAAATTTGTTCTTTAAAAAAGTTATTATTTTTAAGAGCTTCTCAAAAATCCTATTTGGTTTGGCTTTTGCTTTTAAGAGATAGATAAGTTGAAAAAAAGTTAGGCCAATCAGGCACTTAGAGAATTGATTATTAACTTGGAAGGCTTGCAAAAAAAGACTAAACATTGGAGAGTGACACATGTGTATAGAGAAACTAATAATGAGGCTAATCAGTTTGCCAAGAATGGAATTTGCAAAAGTGATCAAGTGGTACAAGTATTGATGCCAACAAATTAAAAGCATGACTTAAAAGCTATAATAAAACTCTTATGAAAAATAATAGCTTTTAAAATTAAATTAAAGTTGTTTGATAAATTTACTTTTTATAAGCTTTTTTTTATAGATAAGTTGTTTGGCAAAACAACTTATATAAACTTTAACTTTAGTTAAAATTACCATAAAGGATATTTAATAAATAACTTTTTATTAATCATAAATTTCTTTGTTCAAAATAAAAAAAATCAACTTTATTTCTATCTATTTAAAATAAATTTTTGAAAATGTAAAAAGGATTTTTATATAACATAAAGTTTATAATTAAAAATAAATTATAAAAAAAGTTTAAAAAATAATTTATAACTAACACATAATTCATAAATAATTTTTTATTGAATACTAATAAATAAATAAAATCAAATAAAAATTGAATCAAATAAAAAAAAATGAGAGATGAAAGAAAGTAGTGAGTCGACTACTAAAACCCTTAACCCTAACAATGGAGGATAATCCATAAAAGAAGAAGAGAAATTTAGGTTGGTAGTAATAATTCAGGAAAATCTTGTTTAGCTATTGATGTTTTTACCAACAAAGTTCACTTCCATGAATAATATTATCCCAACAACCACAATCAACAAATGTTATTTCAATTTTCGTCTAATTTATCTAAACAACCATTAACTTATTTAATTAATTATTTTAATCATAATCATCAAATTTTATGTACACCATAAAAAAATTAACAATAAATAAACATCACATAATTGGCATATCAAACAATAAATTGAGAAATATCAACTAATAAAGAGAGTTTTCAAAGTTAAAAATAAAATAAAATAAAAAAAGAAGAAATAATGCCCATATATAATTTTGAATTTTAAATCTTTTTTTTAAATTTTTGTAAGAATAAAAAAAAATCTTAGAATGATGATTTGTAGAAAAGGAGAGAGGAGAGGAAGATCGATAGGGAGAGAGGGAGGATTTTTGGGAAAAAAATTAGCTTTCTTAATAAGTTGGTGTGTTTTTTTTTTAAAAAAAGAGAAAGCTTCTAATTGGAGCTTTTTTTAAAGTTTTTTTTTAGATTTTATTCTTTAAAAAAAACTAAATTTTTTTAAAATTTTTTACAAAATCTTGTTTAGTCAATTTTTACTTTTAAGTAATAGATAAATTAAATATAAATCAGATGAAACGGACATTAAGAGATTGAAGTTATCGTAGAGTTTTCATAAGTTAAAGATGCCGCCCTTAAAGCAGATAAGCATTTGTTAATGGTTTTAAAATTCAAAGTTCCTTGACTCATAAGGAGTCTTTTTTGCTTACAAGTCCAAGGCGGAAAGATGTTCATAAGCTGCTAGGACTCTCTAACTGAGACGTTGTAGCGTAAATAGATAGGCATGGACTAATTGGGGACTGCACAACAGTTTTTGAACAAGTGGATATATATATATATATATATATATATATATATATATATATATATATATATATTTGGACAAGTTAAATGCTGGTTCCATATCTTTTGGACGACATTTAACCCATGATTTTTGTTAAGCTGAAGCGAATATGAGTTTGAATGTTTCAAATGTTGTTTGCATAATTCCTGTGGACGACTTTTAACGTTGGATTTTGATGAGTTGTGGGCTGCTCTATAGGATAGTTAATTATGCCTAAATATCCCCAAATTTGGGCTTTAGGAAGTGGTATTTTTATTTGCTTTATCTCAAATTGCACTTATAAAATCCAAAGTATATTAACTTTGCTATTTAGCAATAAAATTACTTACATTTAAAAAAATAGATATTTTAATTAATTAATTAATTAGTTAATTAACTTAATTTAAAATAATAATCAAATTATTTAACAATCTTTGTGGCCATCGACTACGATCGACAATGTTCAGTTTCAAAACTTGTAATTTTTATTATTATTTCATTACCTGATGTCTAAGTAGATATTTTCCATATCCAACATCTTTCTTCTTTTTAGATTGATCCCGACGCATTTAATTGTTTTAATTAGACGTAGAAGAATTTAATCTATATAAGCCTAGAAGTAGGTTGGCATTGCATGTGGTAATTATGAGAAATACAAGAAAGAATTGACTATGAAGAAGGATGAGTCGGTAGCTTTGCATCAAAGTTTGAAATTTAATTATTATGTGGCTTTAACCTAACTTCCGATTAAAGGATCATTGCCATCAATTCAACTAACTTTTCGGTCATTATTGTACAACTAAGAATTATAAATATGTTTATATGTATTATTTCATCAAAATAAAAGGAAGAGTTAGAATCCTCCATTTTTCAAATAAAACTAAAAGCCCGACAAGTGTCAAGGGATCAGATATGCCATGTTTAATACCAAGTTGGACATGAGCAATGCCGTGTATGAGTATATATATATAAAAGAGTAAGTTACATCATAGTGAAATTAATTAGATTTTATGTTTTTTATAATTTCAATTCTCTATGTCAATTGACTGAATATAGGGGCAGAGGATTTCCATCCGTTGTAATTACAAATAATTTCCCACATTTCTGTCGCTATATATACTGCCAACCATCTCTATAAAGAAGCATGAGTTAAAAAAGCAGAAGCACAAAAGAAAAGCTCCTGTCTTCAATGGCACAATTTGAGTCCATCCTCATGCTCGCGACAATTTTCTTTCCTCTATTTCTTTCGTACCTCTATCAAAATAGGAAGTCCCCGCCGATCACCAACTGGCCTATTATTGGAATGCTGCCAGGGCTTCTCTACAACGCAAGGAGAATTTTTGCGTTTGCCAACGATTGTATCAGACAAAGTGGGGGCACTTGCGAGATCAGGGGACCATGGTTTCCAAGCTTGGATTTCATTATCACGGCTGATCATATGAATGCCAACCACATCTTGTGCAAGAACTTCGATAACTACGAGAAAGGGTCTGAGTTCAATGAAATATTTTTCGATTGTTTGGGTGAAGGAATATTTAACTCAAACTCTGATTCATGGAAAAGCCAGCGGAAGGTGATGTTGCTGTTGATGAAAGACGACAAGTTTGTGCTACATTTCCAGAGAATCTTGCATGAAAAACTAGAGAAAAGTTTAATCGTAATGCTGGAGCACTTCATGAAACTTGGCATTGAGGTTGACCTTCAGGAAGTATTGCAACGCTTCAGCTACGACGTGGTGTGCATGTTGGCAGTAGGTCTTGATCCAAATTCTCTTTCAGTAGAATTATCTGAAGTTCCGATAATGAAGGCATTCACTCAAGCAGAAGAGCGTTTGTTGTACAGGCATGTGATGCCTGTGAGATTGTGGAAGTTGCAAAGATGGCTTCAAATTGGAGAGGAGAAAAAGTTGAGCAAAGCTTTAAAAACCGTTGATTCTTTTCTATATCAGTGCATTGCATCAAAACGAGAAAAATTACGATGCAAATTACTGGCTGAGGAAGATAAATATGACTTCGTAACAGCTTTTATGGTCCAAGATGAAGGGGAAATGACTAGTGTTGATGGAAAATCTGACAAGTTCCTACGAGACGTTGCAGTCAACATCATGTCAGCAGGGAAAGATACCATAAGTGCCAGCCTTTCTTGGTTTTTCTGGCTTGTTGCAATGAATCCATCCGTAGAAAGCAAGCTTCTACAAGAGATGAGAGCTAATTCTCCATCAATCAATGATGAGAAAAATATGTTTTTTAGTGTGGAAGGGCTGAAGAGATTCGTTTACCTTGATGCTGTTTTACGTGAAACATTAAGGCTTTATCCAGCAGTACCCTTTAACCACAAAACTGCAATTCAACCAGACATCCTTCCAAGCGGTCATCACATTAATCGGAACACAAGGGTCTTGATTAACTTCTATGCAATGGGAAGAATGGAAGAAATATGGGGTGAAGACTGTTTAGAATTCAAACCAGAGAGGTGGATTTCAGAGCGTGGAGATGTTGTACACGTACCATCTCACAAATTCATAGCGTTCAACGCAGGGCCCAGGAGTTGTATAGGTAGGAACATAAGCTTCATTCAGATGAAGTTGGTCGCTATCTCTGTGCTATGGCATTATCAAATTCAAGTGGTCCAAGGCCATCATGTTGCCCCGGGCAATACCATAGTGCTTCATATGAAGAATGGTTTAAAGGTTAGGATCAAGAAAAGGAGTGCTTAAGGGACTTACACGCAAGGATGAATTCTAGAATAAGCATTTATGATTATTGTTGATCATCATGATATCAATTAATAACACCACAAATCAGCTGTTGCAGTGGTGGTATCTTGATTTATGAATAATGTACGTTCCCGAGCTTTGAGAGTAATGTTTATTTCAACTGAATTTTTAATTGTGGAAGCAATTTCTTCACTTTTGCTTCTAATGTTAGCAATTAATGAATCATGAACTTTTATTTCCCCCATTGAACACGTTCACAGATCTTCTCCCGTCTTGTTCACTTTGTGCTCTTCCCTAACTAAGAAGATGAACTTGGAGAAACAAAAAACAAAATAGTAAAGAAAATGAAAACGTGAAAAGAAGAACCCATCAGAAGAAAGGCTTCAAAAAAAAAAAAAAAAGCCGGTGAACCCAAACGTTCACACATTGGGATGTTGCCAATCACGGGCCAATTTGTAAAAGCCGGTGAGTTTCTAAGCCCAACCCCAAATTTTACAGCCTGACGTACTTGAGCACAGCAGTAGAATACATAAGGCCATTTTCAGTGTGAAGTGCAATGGACTTACTGCTGACAGAAACAGTTTGGTTTTCCACAAATTCAACTTGATAATTCCGAAGTACATTGATTGCCACCGTCTTCATCTGTTTGAAACTCAAGTCCTTGCCTAAACAAACTCGAGCCCCCGCACCAAATGGTATGAACATGTAAGATGGCTTATGTATAATCTTTCCACTCTCCGAAATCCACCTTTCTAAGTAGTCTTTACCCCAGATTTCCTCCTTCCTCCCCATTGAATAGACAGAGATAAAGATCCGTGTGCCTCGACCAGGACGATCGCCACTTGGGAGTATTTCTGATTGGATTGGAGATTTGTTATTGACAGGTACTGGAGGATATAGTCTCAGTGTCTCACACAGGGTTGCGTGTAGGTAAACAAATTTGTTCAGCTCTTCCACAGTAAAAGAGACCAAGTTCCCATCACTGCTTGTTGGGGAATTGGCTTTGATCTCTTCCAAAATTTTGGTTTCTACAGATGGATGTGTGGCAATGAGCCAGAAAAACCAAGTCAGGCCGATGCTTATAGTGTCCTTCCCTGCTGCTATGAAGCTGTAAGCTTTGTCTCTTAGAAACTTATCAGATTTTCCGAATGCACTCATTTCTGATCCTTCTTCTTCAACCATAAAAACTGTCAACAAGTCGAATTGATCATCTTCCTCCGATCTTGTTTGGCTTCTTAACTTTTCTCATCTGGATGATATGCAGCTGTACACAAATCATCCACGATTTTCATGCCTTCACTCAACTTTTCTCCTCTCCAATCTGGAGCCATCGCTGCATTTTCCAGACGACTCTAGGCACTATATTCCTGTAGAGCAAAGCCTCCTCTACTTCATCAAACGCCACTTTGCTAGGAACATTTGGGAATTCAACAGTGAGTGTTTTGGGGTCAAAGCCTATTGCCAACAAGCGCGCATATGTGGTCATAGTCGAACCGCTGCAGCAGATTTTCAAGGTCTACTTCAGTTCCGAGCTTCATCACATGTTCCAGGACCGGGATCAGACCTTTCTCCAGCTTTTGCCAGAAAATTCGATCCCAATACAGTGCCTACTTCTTGTTATTCTTGGTGAATGATTGCAATACCCTCCTTTGGTTTCTCCATACATGTGAATCCGAAGTGACAATTCCTTCTCCGAATGGCTCGAAAATCTCCCTGAACTCTGCACCTTTCTCATAGTTATCATAGTTTCTGCACAAGATGCGGTTCACATTCATGGGGTCGCTAGTGAGAACGAAGTCCAAGCTAGGAAACCAAGGTCCCCTGAACTTGAAAGTTCCCCCATTGAAAATAAGAAGATGGGTGAAAAAATCAAAAACTCGATCTGAGTTGGAAACCAGTGCTGGCAGCATACCAACAATTGGTCAATCAGAGTTCATTTTCATTCGTTCATGGCCTTAGTCATGCCTATCAGAATCTTTATTTGGCTTAAAATTTTAGATTTGTTGAGTTTTAAATTATTATTATGAACTCAATGAAACAATTTTGAAAATAAATAAACAAATAAATTATCAGTTCATCTAATGCTAGATCCATTTTACATTAATCATACATGTTAGAATATTTGGACGAAGATAAGTTCCTTATGTATGCAATATTGTCCTATTATTATGTTACAACCACTTGTACATTTTATAATTCGTCATTTTCCTCTTTTCAATAAGAATTTTCAATTCTTGATACAGTGACACAATTAAATTAACTTATTGAAATATCAATGATAAATTATATTTTTATATTAACAATTTAATAAATGAATTTAAACAATTTATCTATATTGAGTAATATTGTAAATTGATCTATCAAAGTTTCTTCTTGTTTTACCAAGCAACCTTCCTTTTGTATTCAAGCTTCGTTGGCTATAACTGATTAAACATGTTCAGATCAACTCAAATAAAATATGAATATTTTGATGTCATAAATGGATTAACACATTTGTAATTAAAACACAATTTTATAATTAAAGTCTGCTTAATTTTATATCAAAATGTTTGATATAATATTTAAAAAATAATTTTAAATTAAATAAATTCTTATAATTACTGATTGAATAATTATTATTATGCAAAATATCACTTATCATTCTATATTACGTTATATGTTAACATGTTATAATATTAATAACGTGACGTGACATGACAACATGATCATATGATATTTTTAATCCTTCACGCAGTACCATGTTAACATCACATGAACTTAAAATTAATGACAATTAATCAATTGTCGATAATAAAGAGTCTATTTGATTCAAAATAAAAATATATGAATTTGATTTAATGTAACAAAAAATAAAGATTTATTTGAATTTTGTTGAATAATTTAGGATGTTTTCAAGTATTATCCTAAAAATTTTATTGCCTTTGAAAGGAAAAATTTTAGACAAAATTTTCCAAAATTTTTTAGGTGAAGTATATGAAATTTTAAGTTAAATTATAAAACAAATGTTAAAATTAAAAATGGATTCAAGTATAATCAATTCTAATTTAATTTTTATTTAATCTTTTTCAATCTAAACCTTTACAAAGCTTATTGCCTTTATTTGGCTAAGAATTTAACTCTAAGTGAAATAAAATGACACAAAAATCCAATAAGATGCCTGAAATATATGGTGGCTGCAGTATGTGTCAAGAGACATGAAGAAAATTATGGATTATCAATTTAATCTTGCTTACATCAATTTATCATTTAAATCATTAGAGAAAAAATATAATTTTATCCTCAAAGTAAGGGTGCAATAATAATAATAATAATAATGTTGTGGTTAGAAAAAAGTTCTTGACCAAAGAAATGGATGGTTGGAAGGATATCCAACTTAATTTTAATTCTCATAATTGATATTATTTTAAACATATATTATTCTCAAGTTCATATACTAATTAAATTTTAAATGTTTTTGGTTATAGTATGATTCAATTCTCTCCCTTTATTTATTTTGTTTATCATTTATGGACAAACCTAGTAGTACTACTTTGATTCCCATTCTTCATTCCTAGGAAATGGAATCGAATTTTTACAGTTCTTAGAGGAGTCTCCTAGCATCATGAGCTCCAGGTTTTGGACATGGGTTTTGACCAGGGCTATAGGTTCCCATGCCGTAGGCCTGCCAGGAAAGACTCAGGCAGAGCTTGTGCCTTGTTGCCAGCCAGTGACAGAGATCTTCCCATGAGAAACCATGCAGGAAACTTGCAATTTAATAGAAAAAAGTTTGAAAACATTGTATGTAGGAAGAAATATTCAATGTGATGTAAGCCAAACATTAAGAAAACAGGGGATGGATATGCAAGCATTAACAATGGAAGGTTAAAAGTAGACGTGGCAATTAGGCAGGAACCAATTTTAATAATTCATGGGCAAAGATTGAACACCAAATACAAAATCAATCAAATCCCTCACCACAAGTTTTGGTTAGCGACTGTTTTCACCAGCAAAAGCAAGAACAAATTCGACATAAAGATTCTTCAAAGCAATGATCACAGTCATCACTAGAGGACCCATAATTGCTCCCTGTAATTGAGACACAACCACCGAGTTATGGTTTGTAAAGACAGAGAAAGCATGACAAAATATTTGATTCCAAAGAACAATAGGAGAAAATGAACTAGGTAAAAGTGAGGGGGGTTAAATGCAAGCACTCCTATTATATAGAAGACCCTACAGGCTGACAGAAGATTTAGAAATCATGATGATAGATAGATCAAATAGTGCATATCTATTAAGAAAGAGGTATTACTTCCAATATAGAGGGGAAAAAGGCAATGCCACCAAATATGCTAAGACATGTCAAGTAAGTATTATGTCCTGGAATCTCATCTTGGATAGCCATAGTCCCATAATCCAATAGTATCACATGAACTGCTGTCAGTAGAATAGCTTCAATGTATCTTGATTCCATGGCTAACTGGAGTGCTGCCGGGATCGATGAAATCCAAGCTGGAGTTATAGGTAAAAGAGCGCTTAAAAGAGCTAGAAATGTGGACATGTAAAGGAAATGAATGCGGTAGAATCTGAACAGAAGATATGTAAAACAGCCCTGGAACAATGTGACCTTGGCGGTAGCTAGCAATACACTGCTAACAGCATGATCAAGAACTTGGGCACATCGATTCCTGGTGGATCTTGAAACTGGCAACATCCCTAAAACATGGTCCATAACTCCTCCAGAATCTGAAGTGATCAGATAATACAAAAGCCACAAAAACACCATCAATTCAAATATAAAATTCACCAATCCTGCTGCTCCTGAAACAATCAGTATGGCCACAAAGAACAACAGATTTGCACCTCTAGCTAACACCATCGAACAGCTAAAAAGTACCTTTTTCGAGACATCCAAACTCTGAAGAAGAAATGCTTTGATCTTCTCCAACAAATCCTCATTAGCGATCAGAGACATGAATTTCCTAAACTCACCATTAATATCCCTATAAATCACTTTCCACTCTCCATTCCTCACCTTTGATTGAAGGCTATAAAGGGTTTCATACACTGGCCTCCGGAAGCCAACTTTTTCATCAGGAATGCAAGAAACTACCGAGCTTTGCACAAAATACTGCTTGAAACCATCAACAACCTCTGTCACATTGTAATAAACAGCCCAAGAATCAATATTTTGTGACAAAGTTTCATAAAACTTGGACATGTAGCTATCAATTAATTCAGGGACTTGATTCTCATCCATCCATTTACTAATCCCAATTATCTCACCATAATTATTCTCTTCCAAATGAATCTTCAAAGAAATGACTGCTTCTTTCCCTTCAATTGCAATTTTATAAGAGAAGAAAAGAAATCCTAATATAGACCCTACAATCATAAACAAAATAAGACCAATCCCAACCATTGTATTCAATCTCTTAAACATCATTGAAGTTATATATTGACCTCCCTTGCAAAAGAATGAGAAACTTCTATTCTTATGAAATTTTTTTCTGTTTTGTCGAGCAGATGAAATCCTTGAGAGAGTTGTTGCAAGGCCAGGCCTAATTATAACTGCAAAACCATTTGTGTAGGCTACAAAGCAAGGGACTGTAACAGCTGGAATAGAGAAAAACCCTATTCTCTCATAAACAAGAACAAAAAGGCCAAAAGAGACAAGCCATTGCATGAGCTTATAGAAACCAACACGTGTCCGCCGGCGACCAGCCGGCCTAGGAGAGGAGCGGCAGCTGAATAGGCGGAGGAGGGCCGCATGCGAGTCGAGGAGGGAGGCGGTGGTGGCGCGTAGAATGGCAATGGGGATGGCGATCAGGGTTTCGAAAAGGCCGAGACTAAGAGGGTGCGACCAGAAGGAAACTATCAGGGTTTGGAGCCCACGTAAAGGCATGGAACAAAGAATGGCCCATTGGATGGGGCGCCAGTAGTTCTGCAGGAGCTTGCTGAGGCCGAAGAGGAGAGCCAGTGTTAAAGCAAGCCCTGCATGGGCCATGGCTACGTACATTGCCGTCCGTACGGCAGGATCGTTCGATGAAAATGGCGGTTGATACCTTTTCCGTCTTGGGTTTCTCCTTCTTTTCCTTGGTTGTTTGCTTGGAGCTGAATCAGGGTGTTCCTCATTGGTTTTCGGTTCTTCATCATCTGGTTCAGATCGGTGTTTCCCATGCCTTTTCCTGTTAGATCTTGAGGGATAATCTTTGGGAGTTGGTTCGATTGCTTTTAACATAATCTTGTAATATCATCCATGTCTAATGTTAAGCTTAGGTTATGTTGACGAGAGAGAGAGAGAGAAAGGAGAGAGCAAAGATCCGAGACTCACTGAAGAAGATTGCTGCTTCGTGGATTGAATGAGAGAGATAAAATGAATAAGTTCCCCACAGTCTAATTAACAAAGAAATTTAAGGAAAAATAAAAATAAAAATAAATTAGCCAGAGGAAAATTGAAGATTAATAAATCAAATTAGAGAAGATATTAGGCCAAAATATTACTAAAATATTTCATAATTCCCTCTAATTGTAAATTTCTTATTACTAATAAATATTACTAAAGTAGTACATAATTGACAAAATAATTCTCGGCCCATATTTTGTAATGGGCCTAGATATTAAATTTAGCCCATTTAGCTCATCATGGATCATGCTGGGTGGGAAGCCCAATCCAGGCCCTTTGTAATTTCTATACTTATCTCCAAAATAGATTTTTTAGAATAATTTAACGTCATTGAGTGTTTATATTTAATAATTGTCGAGCTATAATATCTTTACACTAATCACATAATAACAAAATTTCAACTCATAGATGTACAAAGGTCGAATAAATATGTTTAAAATTATGAATATTTATTTTTTAGAGTTCTTAATTTTAAAATTATTTTGTTAACGAAACAATAAACATTTTATTTACGGATAACATGTAGAATTATATACTAATAATATCTCAAATTTAAACTCTATCACTAATCACCATTTATCACCTAAAATGCCAGTAAGTCGTAATAATATAAATTTAATAAAGTTTTTGTTAAATAATTTCTTAAAAAATTGAAGAAATTAAAATTTTAAATACCAAATTCTCAAGAAAGAGGAAACATCATGGAAATTTGAGAAGTATTTTCCGTAAAGGCAAGGCCGCCGAATAGCGGCGAAAGTAAAGCTGAGGGGATTCCTATCAAATATAAATAAAAATAAATGGATGGTCCCATTCCTTCCATCTTTTACTTTACTCTCCTTTCTTTTATTGTATTAATCATTATTGCTTATTTTAGCTCCCTCCCAAACTATTTTTCATTTTAAAATTTTTAAAATATAAATAAATTATTATTTTTATTATATTTTAATTAAGTCTTTATACATTTTTTTTGAATTATTAGTTAAAATATCACTGGTTATTTTTTTTCCTACATGATGCTGATATGGAAAGTAAAAATGTCTATGTAATTATGTCATCATGTTATATAAACATATTATATTACTATTTATAATGACATGTCAAAATACCATATCAATATCACATGATATAAAAAAATAAATAATATTTTAATTAGCGATAATTAGTTAACTATTTATTATAAAAACTTATTTTGTTTAAAATAAAAATATAATAGCTTGATTGAAGGCAATACAAGAAAAAAATATATTTAATTTTTTTTAAATAATTTAAAATTTTTTTATGTATTATACTTTAAAAATAAAAATTTATATTTTTTTTAAGAAAAAGGACAGATGTTGTCAAGATTTTTATAGTACAATATATCTCAGTTTTGGATCAAGTGAATAAGTTGAAAAATCCCAAAAATACAACCCATTTTTTTTATAATTATTTTTTTTTAGCAATTATCATGGAAGTAATGGAGATAAGCCTTTTGGGATACTAAAATTGAAGTTTTCAATAAGTGCTACATCCTAATTTTCTTTCTTGTTAATGTGACAAAGACCTAAGTGGAGTTATTTTAATGCAAGTTGAGCAAATTTTGATGAAATTTATACTACTATCAAATTTATCAAAAATCTTAAAGTAGAGCAACCCACCTACTCTTTATAGGGTAATGTATCTAATTGTCTTAATTTGAGTTTCTCAAGTCAAGTTTTAATGCATTAAATTGAAACTGACTAAAGGATATTTTCATTTATGTCTTAATTTTATTTATATTATTTTAAATAAAATTTTAAATTTAATAAGTAAAAGGGAGGTTTTAAACTTATAAACGTGAGTGTTACATATTTTAATATAAATTAATCTTTCAAAGAATTGATAATGATATCGTGACACATGCTGCAGGTGGCTAATATTAAGCTAAGCATTATTAAGGTGAAAAACGTTATAATTAGGCATCAAATCAATATATTTTTAAACTCTTTTTAAGTTTTTATGTATGGTGTGGAGTTAGGTACCAAAAGGACCTCATTTAATCATAATTTCTATCGGTTGTTTGTTCTAGGAACTACTCATAGGGAATGGTGGAAAAATCGAATTCAAGTAAAGAAAAGAAATGACCAAAAGAAAAAGGTAAATCTCAATCTAATCTTAAGCCAATACGGATGCAACACCACATGTTATTTTCATAATACCATAATAATTGGACGTAAATCATGAAATCTTTAGAAGATTCCCAAAATAATAAACCTAACCGACCCATTAATTTTGGTCATAAATCCCCCAAGAAATCTCAAATATAATTACCTTTTATTTGCTTAAGCAATCCCCCTGGGTACCCTATTCAATACTTTAGCCTACCATAAAGCATTAAAAAGGAAAGCTGACGGCGTTTGCTTATATAAAAGGAAAGTTAAGGAATCATGTTTTGTTGTGTTGGTATTTTTGCATCTGTTTTTTTTTTTGTTTTTTGTCTAAATCAGAGGTTCAAGGTAAAAAACAAAAGCTGACCCAAAGAGAATAGCAAGCTTTGCTTCAAGTTGAAACAATGGATACCCGCAAAAGCCTAACATCACTTGTTCAAGCAACCAATATCAATTCAATTATTTCTTCAGTTGCCTACATGAAAGACTTGGCGTAGGGAACTTGCAGACTAAGCATTGAGCAGAGAAAGAGAGTGTTAACTGCTTTCTTTGCTTTCTTTCTTCTTCTCCATGGAGGATTTGGTGGTGGAAAATCTCTTCAGTGGCGATAGAGAAGTGCAGATTCAAGCTGCGACTGAACTCAGTAAACTAAGCAGCAAGCAAAGGCATAGGATGGCTGAAAGAGGGATTATTTCACCATTGGTTTCGATGCTTCAGTCACAAGATTATGAAGCCATTGAAGCTTCTCTGTTGGCCCTGCTTGGTCTTGCCTTTGGCAGTGAAAAGTTTGTCTCTTTCTTGCTTCTTTCCGTGTTCATTACTACTTTGCAGAATCCAATGAATTCTGTAGCTGATACTATATTTGGTTGTGCAGAAACAAAATCCGGATTGTAAAGGCTGGGGTCATTCCGGTATTGTTAGACCTTCTTCAATGCCAAAGTGAGGAGCTGATTGAACTCACAATCGCAGCGATGTTGATCCTGTCATCTTGCACAGCAAACAAGTTGGCAATTGCTTCTTCGGGGGCTATACAACTCCTTGTAGAAATCCTGAACGTGAACCTGAACCTGGTGAATGCCGATGCCAATGACATTAGTAGCATTAGCATGCAAGCAAGCATAGATGCAATAGCTACACTACAGAATCTCTCAACTTGTCATCAGATAATTCCATCAATCGCCTCGTCTGGTGTGATATATAGCTTGCTTCAACTTATCCACTGTTCAGAAAAGTCATCAGAGCTGACAGAGAAGGCGATGGCTCTACTTGAAAATATTGTTTCCTCCTCTGAGAATTCAATTCAAGAAACAGCCGGTACTGGTGGTGCAATCAGGATTATAGTGGAGGCAGTGGAAGAGGGTTCTCCTCAATGCAAAGAGCATGCAGTGGGAATCCTCTTCACATGTGCCGGAGCTGTAGAGATAAATACAGAGGATTGATATTGAGGGAAGGTGTAATGCCTGGGCTGCTTCAACTTAGTGTTGATGGAACCTGGAGAGCTAAGAGTATGGCTCGAGAGCTGCTGCTTCTTCTGAGGGATTGCTCGAATTATGTTTCGACAAGTAAATCAAAACATGGGCTCATGGAGCAGATTATGCAGGCAATTGATGCAGATGGAGAGAAAGTTACAGGAACAACTCTGAGGTTGGTGGAGGAGATGATAACCAAGCTCAGTACATAAATTTTTTCCCTTTAGGTGATACACTTTAGCCTTTAGATTATAGGCTTACTCAGGGCACTGAAATCTCTGTAAATAATATTGGTATTGGCTGTTGCTTGCTAATTCTCGGGGGTTTTTATCTTTTAATTGCCTGATTATTTAACATCAGTGCTTACAAAGACAACTAATTAAAACCACAGGTTATGACTTTGAATCTCCATTGATTTAATGAAGGAGTTCAGGAAATTAGCACCAAACCTGAATATTTGTAAGCAATCTTACTTTGAATACAAGCTACCATGCACAACCGTCTAGTAATAGAAAAACAGGGCTTTCTGATAACCCCGCACAGCACTTCCGGCAGAGAAAACATATCTTGAAGAAGACCTCTCTAAATCATAAATTATAGCTATTCATGTATAAGGATGAAGCTTCAAAAGTCTTTACATGTAGTGAAACAACATCTTAATAACCAAAGAAATCAATGCCATAATATTTCATCCTTAAATATGGCTAAAAAATTTGGTATTTCATCCCCATATTGTAAAAGTGACTATTTGTATCAATCTCCTAGCGAAGTGGAGGATTATTTTATCATCACTATTGCCTCTACGACCAAAAAACCAAGGGGTATACAACCCACAAGCACACAGTACAACATTGGATTACAGGGCTTAGTTTAGCCCGACCTTCTATAATAGCTATAAGCCACAGCAACGGTAGCCACAGCTCCAACCACAGCTGCTGCTGTAAGAACATCACGTTGCTCCCATGATTCTACCCAGCTTGTCAATCTGCACACCCCAGTCTTTCCATGCTCCTCCATTGTTTCTTCACTTTTCTTTCTTTCACTTACTTCTGAGCTAGCATTCATGCAACAGGTGAACCCATTAGCACCCTGACAACAACCACCCACATTTTCCTTGGTCTGCTGAGCAGTCGATTCTTCATGCTTCTCATTTTTCTCCGCATTTGTCCCATTTGGAAGCTTCTGTTCATCTGCATTATCACCCCCTTCAGTAGAAGCTCCCAATTGACCCCTGCAGATGCATGTTTTACATACTTTGTCATCTTACAAACAGTTGGAAAAAATACAAGTGATCCCAACTATAAAAAATGAAAAAATTGACATAAAGAAGAAATAATTGAAAGCTTCATATGGCATATGCAATGAGTCACACAATAGAGATGGGGCTTCCCACAAGCAAAGCACATTGTAAATAATAGTACTATGAGTGATTTCACTAAAATCCTGGCAAAAAAATACAGCCTAAAATAAGTAGCATAAAGTCATAAAAGAAAATTTTCAAAAGAGCATTATAGGGAAATGAAATAACGCACTGCCTTCAGGATCAAAGTTCAGAAGCTGAATTAGTGCAAAATAATGCTAAGAGAAGAGCCAATTAGTTACATGTATATAATACCATTGGCTGCCTTGTGAGAAAAAGATAAGACAATCAATGCTAGGAAAGACATGAAGCAGCACTGATAGTAAACTATGAACTCTTTCACCGGATAACTTAAAAAATTATGGATTTTAAGTATGCACTGACAACGTTGATGGTCAAACTTCATCTACCACAAAAGATTTGAGGTAGAAAGTCCATCTCCAATACATGAATGTACTCAGAAATGGCACAAAATGAAATACTATAAATTTAACCAACTTAAGTTCGGGATAAACAAAAAACACAAACCTCCAAAGGCGTTCTATTATTTCTCCCTTTGCAATGTGCTGATCCAGCAATTCAGGCACATCATCAGGAGTAACATAGCCATACCTGCAATCATTTGATGCAATAAAAAAAAAAAACCACCAATACCATCAACAACCATCCAATGCATAGAAGCGCAATGTCATAGTGATGTAGATATTACCAGTGGCCCGAAATCTTTCCCTTGGAATCTGGGCTGAAGATAATCAAGTTCCCAGCGTACTTATGTCCTCCAATGTGAGAGCAAGCACTAACAAACACCTGATCTTTCAGTCCTCGCAACTCAATCTCCTTGTTGAGCTTTTCAATTAGAACTGGTCCACAAACGCCACATCTCTTGTCACGATTACCGTGAGCACACACAAAGACATATGAACCGGTTAAGGTCTCCTGCACTCCAGAAGCCCATGGTTTGCCGCTCACAAGCACATCCTCGACAAAGCCATCCACATCAGAGTCCGTCAAACCCCTTCCATCAGAACAATAAATAAGCCTCAGCATAAAAATCCCTTACTATAGCATTCTCTCATTATTTTCCAAACAAAGAAAACATTCAATCTCAACGCAACAAACAATAGCAAATAAACAAAACACTTCTTAATCCTCACACTATGCTGGCCTAAAATTACACAAGGATGGTTATGTTTAATGCCACGAGTGCTTTTGAAATTTTGACAAATTTGCATTTAATTAAACATGCCTTTATGTCTACTATTATCCAAAAATCTGATATCATAAGACAAGAAATTATTGCAAGCCTCACCTCAACAAATATTATTTCCATTTAAATTTTGACATGTAATCATCTTTTTCAATAAGTCAAGTAATTATTACAAATCACCCATGAAGAATTGAAGGTTAATATTTTATTTACAGTTAATTGAACACACGGGAAAAGTTTTTAAGAGTATAATTGTATCAAAAAGAATTTAGCAGAACTTGCTCAACATAGAAAAGATCAGATTCCTAATCCCATCAATTACAACAAGTATCTTTTCTAATCCCAAATTTTTTTCATTTGCACAGTATCTGGTCTTGTAAATGGAAAGTCAACACTTACAAAAAGAAATTAATTCCAGAAAATTCCCAAAAAAAAAAAGGAAAAAGGAAAAACTTACTTGTAGTTGATCATTTCAGGGAAAATCAACACATCTCCATCAGATCCCTCTCCTTCAATAACCGTCAACAATGTCTATCAAAATAAAAGGAAAAAGAAAAACCACGATTAGTTGAAAATTTAAAGCTGCAAAGCAATCGACAAAAGGTCGCAAGCAACAAGAACGAACCTTGGCAGGGATGTCGCTTTTGCGAGACTTAAGAGCGGAGGAGAGAAGCTTCGGGAGGAGATCTTCTTCGACGCGGGAGGCCCAATCGGTATACGACTTATAGCGAAGGAACACGTGACGGTCGTAGGGATTGACGGTGCCAGCAAGATTACTGGAGTACATCTCCTCGCGCGTGAACCCGAACTGCTTCTCATCTTCAGCAGAGACACTTGAGAGGTTGTTATATCCGCCATCGAATAAGAAGAAAGACAAGCCAAAGGCAAAGGTTTAGGGGAAGGGTGACGGCGAGGTCGAGTGAAGGATATGATGGAGGAGAAGAGAGAGCGGGAGCAGTGCGCAATGCGCATGGGGGGGATCTGGAGGTGGGCTTTTGGGTTTGAATGAGAACGGAAATTGCGCGTGGCGAAAACGCGCGGGGGGATTTTGGCTGGGGACGATTTGGTGGTGTAATGGCCATGGAAGGTTCGGTAGAACTGCATTTTGGCTTTTTTGGGTTAATAAACTTAAATTTATAAAAATTCATATTCATCCAATAGTCAACAAAATGCATTTCAGGTCCAACGTAAGACTTTCTCCAAATCTTCACGTATTTGTCGTAAATAATTTATTATTTATAATTGTATTAATTTTTTTAAAAAACTTACCCAATTTTTTAATTTATTTGTTTAATTTAATATGAAAGATGACAACAATTAAAAAATTAATTAATAATTTTATCTACAACAAGTTCATTTAATTAGTAAAATCCTTTGTCTCGCTTTTGGAATTGGAACAAAATATTTATCTTGAGTTATTTATTTATTCATAACAATTAAATGATAATTTCATCATTAAATACTATTATTCTTAACATAGTAAACGTATTAATTTAAGTTGACATAATATATTTTATTTTTTTAAATTATTTAAAAAAATTTAAATAAATATTTATTTTATTTTTAAACTAAATAAATATTTTAATTAATTTTAATTAATTATATTAATTAAAATTATCATTTATTATTTTTATAATTAATAACGTTATCGTTAAAAGTAAAAATTTAATGTAATCATATCATCGTATTATATTAATATGAATTAGTATGGTATATATCAAGTTGATATTATATATCATAAAAATAATAAGTGAGTTTTAATTAATAATTGTTAATTATAAAGATAAAATTTAATTAAATGTTAAAATAAAATTTATAATTTTTTTAAATAATAAATATTTTAAAACTATAAACATAAATAATACGTCACAAGAATAAATAATTTAAAAAAATTAATTATAAAAGTAGCATTTATCACGTCTCTTTTTTCTTTACATATTTTTGTAGCTTTCAAATATCATTCAATTGCAATCATTCAAATAAATTATTTATTTCATCTATTATTATTAGTATAGTTGACTGATTATGTATCAAAGTTTCCTAACAAAAAAGTTTTTGGCTAAAAATAATTATAGTCGATTTGGAAGAGATCACGAGGTTTGAATGAAGAAAAATCCAAGCCAATAAATCATTTTTCTAATTACTTTTTGGTAGGTACGCATTGTTTTTCCAAGGAGGCTAGAGAAAACCTCCAGGGGCCCAGCCAGGCTCGAAAGTCAAAACCGAGGACCCAACCTAGGTCCGAGCGTACATGATTGGGTCCTCCGCTCCGATCACATCGGAGCAATGAAGATTGTTTCGTGTACGCCAGGTCGGTGGCCAGCCAGGGCCCCACCTAGCTCTCGGCTGCCTTGGCGCGTGTTCTTGAAGCGCGTGGATTTCATGTGGAAGTTTTATTTTTGGATTGTTAAAAGTCCCATACCATTGCAATTTTCCCGGAAGAGGCTGTAAGAGAAAAAACAAAACTGATGATTTTCGTCACGTGGAGCAATTTTGCTACAAGAGAGAGTTTGCTAACGTGGACGGTTATGGTTGGGCCTTCAACTTGTTTTTTCTGACGACACTTATCGTTAATAAATTTAAATAATTTTTTATTATTATATTCAATTTAATGAAATATTTTTATTTTTATTTTGAATAGAAGTTTAATTATGTTAAAAATAAAAAATATCATATAATTGTATCAACCTTTCATGTAATTATCAATCATTATATATCAATATATCACATTAATATACATGAGAAATAATATTTTAAGTAATAAATAATTATTAATTATTAATTATAAAAATTTATTTTAATTAAATAAAAATATAAATTTTTAAAATAATTTAAAATTTTTTTAAATGTTATCCTTATATAATTTTTTACAACCGTCACACA